GAGTTGTTTAAACTGATCACCAATAAATCAGAATAATTATAACCTTTATATTGGCTTATTATAAGAATTTCTAACTTTTAGAGGATTTTAATTTTTGAAAGTTTGAAACTTAAAGATTTTTACTGCTAAAAATCATATATTAAAACCCAATAACATAACTTGATCCAAAGTATGACCCATGTGTGATCAATAAAGCCCATGTGTAGAAAATTCATAAATATTGAAAATAACCCTGGCTTCCAAACATTCTAGAAAACAAATGGAAGCTGATCAACTGCATAGGAACCAAAAGATACACATAGTTAGGACTTCACCACCACTAGAACTCAACTAGGCAAGGTTCCAAGTGGGTCATTCCTTGATATTGATCAATATCCAGTTTTCCTTGTTTTATTAAATTTTCTTTCTCAAGTTTCTTTTGGTCTGCATCATTGTTAGGCATGTGATCTGTGTAGGAACAACTATATCTTTTTGGATGGAAGTCACATGAAAGCAACAAAATTGACTTTTTCTAGTGTATTTGTCTCTTAAATATTTGCTTAAGATAACATTTCTTATGGATGCACACAGTGCTAATTGGCTACTTCATGAGGAGGCAGCACCATTTGGAGTAAGCTATGTAGAACAAAGTTACAAATTCTGTTATGTATGCACAAAAATGGTCTATTTTTTGAGATCTGAAGAGGTTTTTCATAGTGTGGGCATTTTGATGAATGTTTAAAGCTCAAGGTTGGGTATATCTTTGACAAGTATTTAAGAAATCTCAAGGTTGCATAATATTTTATTTTGTGTAAATTGGATTAGATTTCACCTTGGGCGGCAAATTAAGGCTCATTTGGGAAGTGGCTATTTAGTTGGCTTTTTGGCTTTTTACAAAAATGTGCAGAAAAGTAGAGAGAGTGATGTGACAACTTATAATGGCTTTTTAGCTATATTAGCCAAATGCCAAACAAAGCCTAATATTAATCCAAACAAAAATATGACTTTTTAATGGTTTACTAGATAGATAAAATCTAAACATTTACTTTTAAACAAAATGTTGAGATGGCCCAATTTTGTATCTCAAAAAATTAATCTGAAATATTATCATCTGTGTGAACCTTTTCGAGTTGTAACAATTTCGAATCTAACACATCACGAATCCAGTGGTATCTCACATCAATGTGTTTCGATCTCGAATGAAAAGTAGAATTTTTACTCAAGTGAATAGCACTTTGACTATCACAATAAAGCACATACTTTTCTTGCTTCAAACCCAATTCTTGCAAAAATTTCTTCAACCATAACTCTTCTTTACAAGCTTCTGTAATGGCAATAAATTCAGCTTCGGTAGTTAAGAGAGCAACACATTTTTGTAATTTAGATTGCCATGCCACAACTCCCCCTGCAAAAGTCATCAAATACCCCGAAGTAGATTTCCTAGAATCAACATCACCAGCCATGTCATACTACAACAAAAGTAACCTATGGTGACGAAAAGTAGTGAAGAAAATAAATTTTGTCACTAAATAAGAATAATCCGTGACGAATTATAAAATTTTGTCACATATAACAAAAAGATAAAAATAATAGGTGACGAAATTTATTTTCGTTAACAAATACTTCTTTTTAGGTGAGGAAAAATTAAGTTTCGTCACCGAAGGTTTTCCCGCTAATTTTTTTTTGGTAACGCCAAAATTTTGAGACTTTTGGTGAGAAAAAAATTTGTCACCAATTGTAAAATTATTATTGAGGAATATATTTTCGTCACCAATAATTTTTTTTTATATATTTTTTGAGAAACTTGATTTTAAATATTTTAAGACCATTTGGTGAGAAATATATTTTTGTCATTAATAATTTTTAATATTTTGAGACTTTTTAGTGAGGAAATTATTTTGTCACTAATTTTGGAGGGAAAATTTTGACATATTGGGCGGTAATGAAAAAAATAGACTACTAACTTCCCCCTCTCCCTTTTTTTTTTATCAGTTTTCCTCTCCCCTCTTTCTCTCTCTCTCTCTCTCTCAAAACAAAACACAAGTTAATTAGCCCTTTAAGTAACCTATGGTGACGAAAAGTAGTGAAGAAAATAAATTTCGTCACTAAATAGAAATATTCCATGACGAATTATAAAATTTTGCTACATATAATAAAAAAGTGAAAATAATAGGTGACGAAATTTATTTTCGTCAATAAATACTTCTTTTTAGGTGAAGAAAAATTAAATTTCGTTACCAAAGGTTCTCTTTCTAATTTTTTTGGGTGGCGCCAAAATTTTGAGACTTTTGGTGAGAAAAATATTTATCACCAATAATAAAATTATTAGTGAGGAATTTCGCCACCAATAATTTTAAATATTTTTTTTTGAAAATTTTGATTTTAAATATTTTGAAACTATTTGATGAATATTTTTGTCGTCAATATTTTAACATTTTAAAATTTTTGGGGAGAAAATTATTTTATCACTAATATTGGAGGAATAAGTTTGTGATATTAGCGGTAATGAAAAAAAAAACCTACTAATTTCCCCCCCTCCCTTTGTTTTGGTGTTTCAGTTTTCCTCTCATTCTTCTCTTGCAAAACACACGGTCTTTGCCATCAGCCCCCCTTCTCCTCCTTCAACTTTTTCTCCTCCTTCAGCGTCACCACCGACATCACTCGTTCTCCTTCAGTGCCACCACCGACGTCACCCACGTTCTCTTCCGAGCAATCATTAGCGCCGCCGATGTTGCTTATTCGAAAAATAAAATTTAAAAAAATTAAATATATATATTATATCTGACTAAACAAAAATTTAAAATTTAAAATATATATACATATATAATTCACTCCACAATTGAAAAATAAAATTTACTTGAGATTATTGTTTGAAAAAAATAATTCTCTAAAAAATATTTTTTTTTGAGTTCATCAGACCACTTGGTCTGTCTCTCTTTCCATCCTTTTCATTCTCTCATCTCTCTCTCATTTGTGCTATCCCAACCCAGAACCTTCTCATCACCGACCCCCTCACTCTATCTCATCAACGATTGTGAGAGTCTTTCTCCCAATCCAGAACCTTTTCTTCTCGTTGTCGATCGGTCTCTCATAGTCGACATCCTACCCCCCTCTTTCTCTCTATCTCTTTCATCTCTCTTCGGTGAACAACAGTTGACGAGGATCTAACATCACAAACCCCTCTTCGATGAACATCAGTCGACAAGATCAAAGATCACAAACCCACATCGCAAATCGAAGCCCTATTCATAGATCACATATTACAGGCCCAAACTCGCAAGCATATTGAAATATAGGTATTTCTTGTTTAAAATTTACTTTAGATTTTGGAATCTTTGGTTGAGATTGTTGTTGTTTGGTTGAGATTTGTTAAAATTTGTTTGAGATTACCCATAATTTTTTTGAAATTGATTAATGCTGTTGTTTTCGGTGAATTTGTTTTTTTTTTTTAAATAAAAAAAGTTTGTATGAATCTGTTTAAAACAGATCCAAAAAAAAAATTTGTTTAAAGAATTTTGTTGTTAATTTGGTGAAATTTGTTTGAAAAAAAAATTAACTATGTTTCAATTGACAAGGTGTGCCAAGATGCATTTGATTTGATCATATGCCTGTGAATTAATAGACAATGTGATTTATAGGCAACAAGCTCATCCTCAATTGAATGTTTAGGTTCACTCCTTAGAAATAGAAATTGAAGATGGCAGTTATGTGGGCATGCCATTTGTCCTTGTGTCAGGTGGGAAGTGGATAAAGAATGATGGTTTAGACTTCTATGTTAAATTTGATACTGGATACAAGCAGGAGCAAAAGGTTGCTTTCAGTTATAGGTTTCTTTTTCTTATTTGTCATCCCACAACATTTTTCAGATATATTGATTAGGCATTGTTTTCCTAAAAGGGATGCTGGTGATGGCCAAGGTACTGCAAAGACATTGTTGGATAAAATAGCCAATATGGAAAGCGAGGCACAAAAGTCCTTTATGCACCGGTCAGTAATCTTTGGATACTTTGATAGTCTTTTGTTTTTTTTTTTTAATGCCTTACCTTCTGGTATCTTAGGTAAATTGTATGTATGGTTAGTTTCAGTGTAGTATTATGATTTGAGGAAATGAGTGTTTTGGCTTTAATAATAGAACTTAACCTTTAATGTTTGCTTTTTCACATTTGTTCTGTCAATGTGCATATGTTGCGTCTGTGTGTTGTGAGCATTGCTTCTAGAAATACGTCAGTTAAGTAAGCCTAGGTAGTCTATGAGTATTTTGTAGTTTCATCTTTTTCTATTTCATGGATGTTGGAAAATTTAGATTGTTTTCAATATCTTGCATAATAAACCATATGTGGTAGTTAATTTCAAGTGCGGTAGTGTAGGCTTCAAGAATGGAGGGCTTGGACTGGACTTAATAGATTTTAATCTTTTATGTTGTGCTTTTTGGCGCAGAAATATGATAGCTTTAACTTTATTTTGGTCCTCTTTGGGTTCAGACCATTTCATCCTCACAAAAATTATGCTTTTATGGTTTTAATGTGGCTCAACCCTGCATGTGTAATAAATGCTCACTATAGGAGCAATAACCACTAGGACAATTAAAAAGGACAATTAAAATGCTTTACACCTGGTTTGATTCTACACTATTTCTTTTGGCATCTTTTAGCTAATTTTTGTTTTGGCTCATCTTGATTGTGGCTTATGATGAAATGGCTGTTATTGTTGGTATATATACAATCTGTCATGCATGGAACTTCAACTAATATTTTTGGTTTTATTTGCTAAATCATGTTTGGGGTGCAGATTTGGTTCATTGTTATTGAAGTTGTAAGTGTCAGCAATAATCACTTGCACCAGTCTGAAGAACTTAAATCAACTAGGCATTACTTAGAAGGCTCCTGGGTGGCAAGGTAATGAATAGAGTAGTTATCGGATTTGAAATTTCAAATTTCACCAAAAATTGAGACAAAAATTACGCGTTGTTTTGATGCTTGGCTTGTTTAATAATCAAGTCAAGTTTGAGTAGAGAGCTTGGTTTGAATGGGTTCGTAGACACAAAGATATATAAATTAATGTTTATTTTAATAATATATGAAGTATATTTGTATAGGTTTATTTTATTTATTTATTTATTGTTTATATTTAATGTTTGTGCAAACTTTCATATGGTCGAAGTTTGCTTATTGTTTACTGTTTGTTAATTTCTAGTTGGTCATAACAGATAACTTTTTCTTGGACATAATCATGTTGGCCAAAAGTAGCCACAAGTTACATCACCTATAATAAAAAATATGAGTCCACAAATTCGCTTTCAAAAAAAATTAATCTTTTTTCTTAAAAAAAAAAAATTAAGTTTTGGCTTTCCACAATATCTTGCACAATCATAAAACCTTCTACCCATTTTCCAGTGTCATTGAAGACTTCACAGGAGATCTCTCTCCACAATAACATAGTCTTAGAGGCATTTGTCCTGGGGAAACCTGTCCCCACTTTTTCCGGAATAAAAGCCAATGAAGAAAGCCATCCAACAATAATCTTCAACTTTCGAAAATCTGGGCAACTTTGAACAATTGGAACATTTCAATTAAGGATTCCTATCTTATTTGGGTCTTGAATTTGTGTATATATATGGCAATAAGGGTGTTTTCGTCAGTTGCATAATGCCTTTTGGGCGGGAAAACGTGGCTCCACTCATCAAGTTCTGGTCGTGCAACACGCGCTGTTTAAACAAACATCCGGTTGGATTTTACACTCTGTATGAAGTATGAGAAGTTTAAGTGTACAAATGAAACTATAAAAGCTGCCGTGTTTTCTGAGGCAAACCATAGGAGGTAAATTAATAATTTACCTAAAATTTAGACCATCTGTCTCTTCTTATTGGCTCAAACCCCAGAAAACAGATGGTGGCTTTGGTTCCATCTCAAAATTAGATAATCGCAAAATGTCTGATCAAAATAATCATACCACATCTTTTAGTTGATCTTCTGGTAGAAACTGTGGGACCATGCACCACAAGCAGAACCAAAAGTAAAAGATTCAAATGAAAATCGAAATCCTGGAACGATTGGAACTTTGGCAGAAAACACAAGTGGTATGATGCTTATGACCGACGCCATATTAAGAAAAGTCATGCTAAAGAAACTCCTCGCTTGAAGAAGCTTTTCAAGATATATATATATATATATAAAAGAGAAAAAAAAAAAAAAAGGGAGAGGGAAGAGTCTACCAATGCATGCTCAATACGTACAGAGCACGCATTTCCAAAATCGTGTTAACTTGGCAATTGTAACAGACCTAAGAAAGATGGACATGGACACATTTAAATGTGTTCCTGACATGTCAAAATTTCCCAAAGAAGTCGGAGTCCACACAGACATACCAACCTTAAAGTGTCCATGAGACAAATAAGGTTTCCTAACATAATACCATTCATCAAACAAGTTATCAGCCTAAATCAAATCCCCATTTAAATGGATAAATAAAGTCATAGAACATAACACATAAATATAAAATAAAAAATTCAGATCCCAGACAAATTAGTTTGATGTTAATTGGTTGAGCAATACACCCTGGATTTATCTGTTAATACTTAAAAAGTTTATGACTAGATTGAAGGTATCAAACCAACTTGTAGTGGCCAAAAATTAAATACATGAACATGAATTAAATATGAAATGAGAGCTGTTGCAACAAGATCAAATATTCCTTTAGA